GCATTTTTCCCAAGGTTTCCAGCCATTTCATACCCAAAATTACATCAGTGCATCCCAACTTCAGAGGCAGGAAATCATCAACAACTTCAATGCTTGGCAAGGAAATTACCACACCCTTACAAACACCACATCCTCTAACTGCTGAACCGGTGCCCATAATAATCCCGTACCCACGGGTGGAGACCGTTGGAATCTGTAATTGTGCCGCCAAATCAACAGATATGAAGTTGTGAGTAGCTCTACAATCAATGAGAACAATCACTGAGTGCCCACAAATTGTCCCCTTCAACTTCATGGATTTAGGAGCATTCAACCCCACTACTGAATTAATAGATAGTTCCACTCCTACCTCTGTTTTGCATTCGTCCACCTGAAAATCCCCCAGCTCTTCCCCTTCTTCTTCTTCTTGTATGACAAGGACGTGCAGTTCCTTATTTCGGCACTTGTGCCCTGGTTGGAACTTCTCATCATAGCGGTAACACAAGCCCCGTTCTCTCTTTAGCTGCAGCTCGACGTCCGAGAGCTTCTTGAAGGACGACGCTGCTTTTCCCACCATCAGATTTCGGGGACTGGAGGAAATCGGTCTCGTGTTGAGCTGAGCTATGTGATTTTGGGAGAGGTTTCCCGAATGGGTTAGATTAGGAGGCTTAGACGGGCCATAATCCGGACTTGGGCTATAAGAGGTGTTCCTCATTTTACCCGGGCCGTAGGATCCTTGGGCCTGTTTCACCAGTTCATTTCGATCCTCTACTCACTGGGCCAGCTCCATAATACGATCCAGCCCACGAGGTTTTAGCCTTACCTCTATCCGAATTAAAGGCTTCAGCCCGTTAATGAAGTTACCTTCCAGAACGTCTTCAGGCACGGTGGTTAATGGAGCTGCTAGGACCTCAAACATCCGCCTGTAATCTCTCACTGTTCCTTCTTGTCTAAGTGCCAGAAATTTTTTAGGTTCGTACCCTCTTGTGAAGGCCGAAAACGCAACAGCAGGGTAGCCTTCAGATCTTCCCACCTCCGGAAAGTCTGTCGGCCGTCTTCCCATTGGTACCATGCCAACGCCTCCCCTTCAAAAAACACGGCCGCCACTTCAATTTTCTCCCAATTCAAGAAATGGTTTATGCTAAAATACCTTTCCGCCTTGAAGAGCCACCTGTCTGGATTTTCACCATGGAAGACTGGCATTTCTAACCTTCTGCTACGACCATCCATTCGCCCTTTATCCTCCAGGTCCTTATTGCGTTGATCTGGTTCCTCATAATTTGATGGTGATTCTACTGTCGGTACAGCCATACTAGAACTGTTGGCCAACCCTTTTCCTTTTCCGTCGTGCGCCTACCCTTCCCACTTACTCAGCAGCAACTCGAACTTTTCCTTCAACCCTGATATGTCATTTTGAATCTCCCCTTTGATGGTTTCCAGTCCTTCATGTAGTTCCTGCTGCACACCATCAAACCTCTCCTCTAAGGTGCTCATTTGGTCGTTTAACGTCATCTTCCCAGAATTGAGAAGCTCTGATACCAATTTGATAGAACCTCACAAGATGAAAGAACCAAAACACAGAAATTAAGTATATTATTCAAGTGGAAATGAAGTTGACAAGATTCAGGCTATTCGAGAGGCCTGATCTCTCCTAATTGATCCCCAAAATTCAGAGTAAAAACGTACCCAACAGGTTCCCTCCCTCCCCCATTTTATTAACCCCTCTCCTAACAACTTTCTAACTAATTGAACTATCCAACAGACTGCCCTCCCTCCTCACGTGGACCTGCAGCTGACCTAGGCTTCCTCTCATTCCTCCTTGCATACGTGAATTGAATCGGGGGCCTATCAATTTTTTAGCTAAGGAAGCTTCTTCCGACTTCTCTATCTTATGATTTGACCATCCATGTAAGTTTTAGCTTAATCCTAGTAATGAATGAATAACTTCATTATGTTGGTCCCATCTAAAATTAACGTCCAACTTTCACTTAAAGTTTGTTTATATAGTAACAATGACTCACAAGAATTTCATGCTAAATGTAATGCATTAAGAATGATCAGTCACAAAGCCAGGAACTAAGTATAGTGGGCGTAGAAATTAACTGCAGAAATTTTTCAAACCAAGCAATACACAGGTTTCTGAAATAGTGACTTTTTGCTTTCCCAGTGGGGACCACTGCCCCCGCTTGCCTTGGCCGTTGATAATGACTGATTTGATGCAACAATGTTAACTTTAAAGTCAAAAGGACTGGAGTTCTTTTCTGCTGCATTATCTTTCTAAATTTGTGATAATGTCAAGCTTATGTAGGATCAAAGAGGGAGAAAATGACTTGAATGAATCTTCCTCGTTATCCTTCTCCTTCTAATACTCCTTTCATATCTAAAATGTTAGATTCCCAAATTCGGCTACTTATTTTCATTAAATCTATCCATTTGACAGATTGTTGGAATATTACTGAAACAAGGATGCATTGCTTGATGTTCTGAAATTAGAATCAACAATATCGTGAAAAAAGAAAATAATATTGTTGAAATTACTTCAATTGGTGTCTATGATTTTGTACAAATTTATGTTCACTAGTTTTATGTTATGTACTATTTCATATTAACTTATTCCAAAAGGAGTAAATTAGGTGGTTTTAAGGGATCGTGTTGTTATAATATAGATGAGATCCTATACAAATTTTTTTTTCTTTCAATTCCCTCAATTCTATTATCACTTATATACTGATGTTGGGCCTACTTAATTTTGACAGTTCCAATTTCATTTGAGTTCATCATCAATGTTTGGTGGATAGTTGGAAGTAAATGGAAATTTGGCATTGGAGTTTATTATTCTTTTTCCAGTATTGCATTTATGGCAGTACCTATCTCGATTCTGAAATTTTTTAATCTCTGATTATCTTATATGCATTTGGCATTTTGAAACAGGAACTTCACTATAACCAACATGAATTATTGCTTTTGGAAGGGCAGGGTATATACTGCCTGGGTGATAGCTGGTAAGATTTAAATTCTGTTGTCTAAACTATAGATATGTCCCGGAAAGATTGGATTATTTTGTTTCTGATAGTTTTTCATTTCAAACACAAGATTGCCTACATCTTCGTAGGGTGATAGTATTGTATTGAAACTTCCTGATAACCTGTTAAAGGATCCATGCACCAGAAAACGACACCCATTTTCCCCTCACCCTCATCCCTTCTCCAACACAAAGGAAAAATTGAGGTTCTTGTGCTTTTCGTTATTATTTTAGTGGCTTCATCTTCCATAACTTGCTTTTGTATTAAAGAATTGAGAAGTTGGGTTGACATTCTTAAGAGTGTCACTATATCACTGCCCCATATAGTGTAAAATGAAACCTTATAAACAAGGTTCGATTATTTGGAGATAAAACTCAAATATAACTGGAGAGTTCAATCAGCAATGGATGCATATTTCATTAGGCTATTTCAAAGTTCATATTATATACTTGCTCCAGCCACACGAATAGAACTATCAAGTTCTGCACTGCTCATCAATATTGGATAAATATATATAAAAACATAAAAGAAAATCCTGTTATTTTTTTGTTTCTTGAAAATTTCCCCAGAAACTGGGAAGAATATGCTCATGTTTTTTCCTATTAAGATTTTATTAGCTTCACCACAATGGAAAGACGAGTTAGATATGCTTCTCTAGTGAAAATATTTTCATCCTGAAAACTGTGGTTGGAAAAATAGGGTCTCATATCATCTTCGTTGTCTAGGATCCATGTCCTGGAAGAATATCATCAAAGATGATAGGTCTTACGACTTTTTTTTCTTATGGGTTTCTGCTTATGGTAGGCAAAATGATGTATTATTACTCAGGCTGAATATTTTCTATAAACTTGTCTGCCATAACAAATTCCTGTTCGATTGATTTTTAACTATTTTTGTTTGTGAAATAGATATTCAGTGCAAGCTGGTGATACAATTTGGATGGCAGCATTTGTGCCTCAGTGGTAAATAAATCTTAACATGCTACGTTATTGCACTAGAACCTAATGAGTGGAAAGAAATTATTTCAAAATATGTTAGTTTATTAGACTAACTTGAAATATTCTAACTTGAATGTACTCATGAGAACCAATTCGAGGTCAATTTGGACAAACTTTCCAAGATCCTTGGTGAGCATCGTGCTAATGTCATGGTTGCATTGGTGCATTGTACATTTCTACCATGCTTTTGAAAGGCTCGTGGATTTCCCATAAACTACAATAATTGTGACTCGAGTATTGGAGTATCATAGGTTATACTGATTTTTTCCCTTTTAACTACAATAATTGTGACTTCAGTATTGTTGTTGGGGCAGCCTCAACGTGTCTTAGCAAATTGGCAAAGTATTTATTGTCTTTTAATCGAATGACTCATTTAATTCCATATTTCGTTTAGCCTATCATCTAGTGCTACATAGATTGGGATTTCGATTCCGATGGAGCTATGTAGCATTACTCTTGTACATAAGTAGTCGATGAGGTGTTAAGAATAGAGCGGAGAAGTTCTTGAATTTTTATTTTTTGGTTGAAAATATTATGATCCAATCATATCTCACTTCATTATGTGTGTATATACTAATCTATAAGTGGTAATGTACTTATAGCACAACCATAATCTACATATGTAAACAATGGGCCATGATGGGGCTGAGGGGGTGCAACAATCTACTGGGCCAACTCTTGAAGGCACCCAGAGTGTTTTTGGTTGGGGATTTGAAACTAGTCAGATAGATTCCATCTTGGTAACAATATGCACTGTATACAGAATTTGGAAGAAATAAGAACTAATAAACGAACTTTCAAGAACAAAATTTCTGTTTATGAAGCAAAGGAAATAAAGAGTACCGTATGCCATTGGAACAGTTGCCTTTTCATGGAGTCCCCTATGCCATTTTATTGACAAATCAACTCTCAACAAGAGTACTATAAATATAACAGAGATATTAAGTAAAGCTGAGTTAATGACAAAATTCACTGATTGCTGCATTAGAAAGTAGAAGAATTGGAGAATTCAATTATTAGATTTTCCATTGCACGAGGTAAAAAAGAGGTTCTTGTCAGATTATACATTCTCCAAGACCAGCAACTTTACATACATAGCAATTAAGGAACATGACACAATCTGTTGAAGCCAACAATTTTCTCAAAACATTAAGCTTGCCCAAGCACCAATGAAAGCAAATCCCCCAAAGGGGGCTAGTTTAGAGTATTTCCTGTCTTCTAAGTATGCAACCGTGTAACACCTGCAAACCAAAACCAGCATTTGGTTTCATAATCTCAATTCTACTAGTTATCTCAAGATTATCTACGAAAGCATTTTCAATGAGTAATACAATTCAACGGGCAATTTAAGACGATAATTTGTAAGGTTGAAAAAAAAAATTTGGAATTTAATGTTGAGGAATAATATGAGAAAAAGCCAACAATGACGATAAGCATATATCAGGATATGAAAGTCAAGCTAATGGAAGTGCCAGTAGAATCATCATTATTGGCCAGGACTTGAATTTTCAAGTAAAATCTATCAGAGTTGACATTCTAATAACGGAAAAAAAGTGCGATATTGACCTAACAGAAAAAAAGTGCGATATTGACCAACAAAAGAAAAACAGGTATTCAATTGTGTGTTTTGAATCATTTATTGATTCACGTTTTAGCCCTTAGTTCTAGGGATCATTCATTTGAAGCATTCTAGATGCATAATCAATGTCAAATAACGATCAAAAAAGGACATTTTCGAAACAAACGATGTATGCAGGCATAGTGTGGGAGAAATTAAAAAAAAAAAAAAAGAAGAAGAAGAAGAAGAAGAAGAAGACAAGTCAACCATGAGGCCACACGTTAGACACTCTCCAGAACATAGAGTTACTAGGGGTTCCTGAAATGATGTATTACCACCACACCACACCACACCACACCCCCTCCTCCACTTCCTATTTAGTTAATCATCGATAAACATCATTGAGCCTGATGATCTTTTTGATTATTTAGTTTTTGGTGCCTCATTGCTTATTCCACGTAAATTTAGAATCCAATTTATCAATTCAAGCTCAAAAATACCTTTTTGACAGATAGATCCTTGGATATATGGCATGATAAATGAAGTTGTCTCTTACCCAGTCAATACCCTTAGAATCAAGCTAGAAGTAATTATAATAAGGTGAATGATCTCACTAGAAAAGTCAAGTTAGGATCCTCGTGGTTTTTTTTTAATTGGAACACTGATCTTGATAGTACGATGAGTACTTTGAGTACCATAGCATGAACGACGCACGTGCTCATTTGACTAGGATAAAATTCATAGCTTCTACTGAGTTCTTATTTGGTACACATTCTTTAAAACTCTTTTTTCTCATAATCATTTTCAATCACATTCTTCCAACGAAAAATTTGTGAGTAAACTTAAAACTTTTCCTACTTTGTAATGACACATTCTCAAAAAAAAAAAAAATAATAATAATAATAATAATAATAACTAAAAAAAAATAAAAAAATCATTATTACAAAATATATTCTAAAAAATTGGGGCTCAAACGGGGCTAAGCATGATTTACTATCCGCAACGCATTACACTAATTGCTAGTCACAGCTAGGTTAGGACCCTAACACTTCGTAGCTTAAATGAAGCTTCAGACAGTTATATTGTAAATATAAATTGATAGATCACTTCTTATTACAGAATTTCCATTGCGTGAAAAAGAAGAAGTAAAAGCAACTCACTGCTAATTACTCAACACCACCAAATCGAAAAAAATACTTGTCCTCATATCAAATAGTTCCAAGACAAGCTTCAGCTGATATTTATAGCGATTCACGAATTTTGGTATCCCTTCCACTCAATCTTTCTCCACAGTTAACAATTTCAAACAACCATTTTCCTTCTCTGCTCTTTCAGGACAATTCAGTTCAAGCAGAACAGAAATAGTTACAGTGAGTTTCCTTTGGTACTAACCTCGCCAATTTTCATTGAGTTGTTTAAAGAGGACGCTCTGCTTGACTTCATTTCTAGTCCACTTTATCGAAGAACTAAGAAATGTGTAGTGGAATTTAGTTTTATAATGATGCGGAACTTACAAGTTTAGCTTTATCTGTCAAGGACTAAGTGGTTCAATTCTGCAAATCCAAATAATAGATTTCAATGATGCTACAACGAAGTAATACTTACGTCCCAGAGAAAGCCAGGATTCCAGCAGTCAAAAGGCTTCCATACTGCAAAACACACAAATCACAACTATGCTGAAGTTATCAAAAAATAATATTGAGATAGGCATCTCAAATCGGAATTAATGAACACTCACAATGTTTGGGTGGCTTGTAATAGGGGCAGCAACCAGGGCCGCCGTGTGGACCAAATGATACAGAGATGCTGTTTGCCATACCTTAAAAAAACCATTTCGCACGTTTACAACCAAATAATCGAAAACATCACTTCAGTTTCTTTGTACTTTTTATTTTCATTTATTCAAAATAGTCGAAAAAGAGAGATACAGGTATTGAAAGAAACCTCTTTGTAAGAAGGATTTTTTGGCTTGAAAGCGTGGGCACCGTATGTTCCCAAGCCAAGAGCCGCTATACCTATGAATTTTCTAAAATTAAAACATGAAAATTGATAACAATTGATTTTACAGAAGTCGTAAATCATGAACAAAACGAAAACAACAATATCTTCAAGAGTAGAATAAAAGGGGGCAAATGAATTCAGTTCATACATTTCAAAAAAAAATAAAAAACATAGAAAGAAGAGCAATTGAGAAAACTACCAGAGATTGCAGCGACTTTGTGCCAGATACGAGAATCCATTTGAGTGCCCGTTGGTCAATCCTGCTGCTTTAACCCTTATTTATATCTCTGCAAGTATTCAAATTTTAAGGGAATATGGCAGTAGACAAGTATCATTTTCTTATCCAACTTTTTGTTTTGATAGCAATTGAGTCCTCAATCTATCTTTCTTTCCATTGGGAAAATTTAAAATCAAAAAATAAAGTCTATGTACCGATTTGATATTAAATAAATATATTGGGGACTAGTTATGAAATTTTTCCCTAGCTATTTATCGGCTGCAAGCCTCTTCCGCCTTCATCATCGCCCAGTGGGTTCAAGGGCGAACACACAGCAAACTTGTGTGATGGGTTCCAATAGCAAAGTTCTTTTAGACTTGGAGTCCAATGATAACACTACCAACTCTTCAACCTCATGCTTAGGTTTCTTCTCTCTCTCTCTCTTCTGGGATTTTTTGAGTTCGTTTTGTTTTATTTTTTCTGTTGTTATTAATGTATGAATGTTCTTTATTGCAGAGTCAAGACTTCAATTTTGCGGCAAAGATGATGTCCTTTTGCAGTCTGGAACTATGAAAATAAATCCTCCTCAGCAGAAGCCCACAATTTGTCCTCTTCCCAAGAGCAATGGTAAAGTTAAACCTGCTTTCCATTTTTTTTCTTTCCTTTCAATGGTAGCCGTTTCGTTTTCTTTAATTGTTTGTATTTTGATAAGTAGATTCTCCAGTGATGTTGTTTTGCATACGGGTTCTGAAATTTTGGTATAGACAATGTTTTCATTTGTAAATTTAGTGCTGGCAAAGCAAATATACCCAAGTACATACACTTTATTCTGCAAGGATGAAATTGGGTACAAAATCTTTTTCCTAATTTGATGACTAATGAACTCTGTTTTGTATCATTGATCGAATTATGATTAATGTCTAATAATTTTAAGACGTGTATTTTATTTCCTGGAACTGCTCTAACAAGCTGGTAAAATAGTTAGATATAAAATGAGAGCCTCACTCTTTCAAAAATTACTAGGCTTTTTCTTGTACTTTTTGATGATGATTCCAATACTTCAACTATTCAGTTATAAAATATTTCTTGCGATTTACATTTAGGAAGTCATAACTATAAGCAAAAAATGCGTATGAATCCCATGTATGAGCAGTTGTACTGCTTTTATGGTGACTTTGCATCTTGCAGTCATGCTAGACCAAAATAACGATTAGATGAATATGTCTTCTTCACAAAAAGAACTAGAATCCCATACATCTTGACTGTTGATTGCTAGCAAGCTATGAATTGTAATGTTTCTCAATTCAAGTCTCAACTTAGTCATTTTCCATATTTCTGTGACTGGCGCTGTTGGCGTTGCTTTCCAAGTTGTACCATTGTAGCTTAAAATTCTTAACAGTGCAGTCATGCAATGGTTACAACATGAATTTCTCTAAGCTGCCACTCATTTCTATCTATTTATATTTCATTGGCTTTAGGATAAAAATCTTTACACGGTCACATGCTCTTATTTGTCATGAACATTTTTCTTTCCTAATGATTCTTGGTCTCTTTAAATTTTGAAAAATAAATGTTACTGTTGCTTGGGATAAATGTTTACTTTTTCAACAAAAGACAAAAACGATCCACTATCTGTTTACGTCATGCAATACGTGGAGTAACTCCCGATACATTAAAAGCAATCATGTCTGTCATTGCAATTACTGGATGTGGGGAGAGCTTGCAATGGCTGGTTAGGATTGTGAGTAACCATTCATGAGTGAGACTAATGTTGTTTTTTTCAGAACCTTGCGATAAATCAACTGTGGCTGCTCGAAAATCCAAAGTTGCTTAAATAAGAGTGTTTCATAAAATATGACTCTGAAGATGCAGTTTAGCCCCTGTTTGATGGCCATTAATTGGCAAAAACAAAGTTTTGAATAGTGAATTTTTGAAGAATGTGTAATTGGAAGTGAGTATGTAGAAAAAAAGAGTTTTGAAATAAAGGATGTCAAAGAAGGGCTTATTAATTGTGATCTGTCACATAAAGTAATACTAATATCATTAACGGTACCCAGTGGACTGCCAAACAGATACCTTGTACTGGGGATATTGTTAGATAGTTGGGTAGATGCCTCCCTTGCCATGCCCCCACCCAAATTAAACAAATAATGAAAGGAAAATTCATATTGTTCTGTTTCGAACTTGCAGAAGAAAATTCTGCTCCAGGGATAGAGGATGCAAAACTCCTGTATATATAAACAAAATGATATTGGTTACCCCAGTCTATAATAATCCGTCTCATTGCTTGCAGTTTTGGGGAAAGTGAAGGATTTCCTAGGCGTTTTATCAGAGTCAAATAGAAATATGATGCAAGAAGCCAAGGTATAATAAGTACTATAATGAAAGTGAAGATTTTTTTAGTTTTCGTCCGATTATGATCTGTTTGCATTAAGTTTTTCTCATGCTCTTGACATAATACAGGACAATCCTGAAAATTATGATATTGAAGTCCTGAGTGGAAGAGAATCTGAATACATAGAAATGGTAAAGACTGTCTTCAATTATTTGTCTTGGTTGTGGGAGAGCAAGTTACAACAGTAAATTTTACAATTGATTATTCGATGCCTATGTTCCCAGGACTTGATGCTGGGCATTGCTGATCTTCATACCCCTGAAGCCGTTGCTGCTGCAGAGTCTGCAATAGCTGGTTATCAACCAATAATTCCCTTGGCTGGTGATAGTAGTAGTGGGTCAGAATCAGAAGATAGCAGTGATGATGATGATGACAACAATGTCGAGGACGATAAAGAAGAACATTCTGCAAAATTTAGTTCTGAGGCGAATGAAAAGGATTCAAGCAAAGCACCAAGGAATCAGAAATCAAGAAAACGGCCAAACATTGTTGAGATTTCTTAGATTCTGATGCTTTTTAGGTAACTATTGAGTTTTGTTGTAGAAAATGAAGTCACGGTCTGCTGGTGCATGGTCGACCAGGAATTTCGGTTAGACGAGTGATTCAGCGAATGCACCCGTGATATCAAACCTTTGATCGTGCTCTCTCTCTCTCTCTCTCTCTCTCTCTCTCTCTCTCTCTCTCTCTCTCTCTCTCTCAAGTGTGATTCAAAGTGAATCATTAGGTCAGAAAACAAGAACAGATCATATTTGCTACCAAGTGGGAATCATATTTTATTTGCTTCATGTTAAACAAGATTATAATATGGAAACAGGAGTCAAGATCAATATTTAGCCAAATAATGTCAAATCACCAACATCAACTTGCGTTGCATGGTCACATAAATACAATAAGATCTTTGGCACCTAGGGAAAGAAAATGACTAATTATCTTATGCAATGCCAAGGTTCAAAAGAAAAGGATGACTTACTGTTCCACCACCCCATGAGTCACCGATTTCCAAAAGTCCTTTGTGTTCTATTTCTTGAGCACGTGAATCTCGTTCATCAAACGATGAGTGAGTACCATTGACATAACTTTCTTTTTTAAAAGAAATAGTGTTTGATTCAATCATGATTAATGGTAAAGAGATATGCTTGTAAAAAAATGTACCCTGTTTGATAGGTATAATAGTTTAGTCTAGATTTTATTTTAAATTAAAATCAATAATTAATTTAGAATTATTCTTGAAGTACATAAGGGTGTCTAAAATGGACGCTCGACGTCCTCTTATTAGAGGGGTGCCTACGCGGGAGTGTCAAATGGACACCCTTATGTACTCTAAGGATAATCCTTAGTTTTAATCTCATATTTAATTTGATCGACAATTTTTCAATTACATATTTTATTAACTTTTATCAAATTTGACTAAAAATTTAATTTTAATTCCCATCAGACAAAAACTATAGCGACCCACGTCGAACCGCTTCGAACACATCTCACCCCACTATTCATTTTACACAAAACGTGACTCTCATCTCAACTATAATACAAAAAAGGTCAGCGTGTTCAAATTTTGGTTGCACGGCCACCTGAAATAATAATTTTCACCACCCACCATCTCCACCTATATATAAATTCACAACCCACTTCTCTTCAAATTGAAGTTTCCATTACTGAGTATCAGTTCATTGATTTCATACAGGTACCAATTGTATAAATGCGTTCTTTCTTACATTTCCCATAACGGTGTTTAACAGATCCAACATCCCCAAGAGCTTCCATTTCTGTAGATTCATAACCAATTTTAGATTCCTACTTGTTTAATTTGATCTAATTTTCTATGTCGTAATTTTAGATCTATGCATAGAATACAATTCAGATGAAACTTTCCGTTGGTAGATTAATATTTGAAAATTAATTAATTAAAATTAATGCCCCCTAGCCTCATGCTTCTTCTGTGAAGTTAAATATCACATGGAAGAGTTTAAGAAATTTAAGGGCCACGCATTCTTAACAATATATGTTTTCTGTGCTGAAATCGATCAAATTTGAATGAAACAGGACATAATTTGCATTTATTTTGATCATGGCACCAGCTACAGCAACGGGGGATTCGATTAAGCCCAGAGGTACTGTATATGCTATTTTCATTTTTAGAATTTGAAAAAGAAAGAGCAAATACATTACATTCATTGAGGTTTTTTTACTATTATAGTGACATCCCAATCTTTCCAAATATGAACAAAATTGATCCAAAATTGTAACTTGAGAAAAGGGGAAAGAATAATTCCAAAATTTGAACCTTATTTAGTGCTTTGTATTTTTAGTACTATGATTAGAGTACATGCAAACGCTACTAAATGGGGTTGATATAAACTTACAAATTATTAAAACTTGACATGTTCAGTAATGCACTACTTTTTTTACACTTTATCTTTATTAAATTATTCTAAATATCTATTTGTGTTTATTTGTAAACAAACAAGTTGTTTTGATCATATTTTAAAAAAATATGAAGTGCTTTAAGAAATAAATTATATTTCCTAATTTTGTTTGGACGTTGTTACAAAATTTTTATAAGTCATTTTACTAAAACCGATGCTTCCTTTTAGTTCAAAAACCCAAAAAAAAATGGTTATGAGAAAAAAGAGAGAAGGAAGATAGTTCAAATTACCTCTAATAATAGTTTCAAATATAGCCCTTGTTTGAGCCCCATTTTGAAGAAAAAATGTATTTTGGAATAGCGATTTTTTGGAGAATATGTGGTTAAAAAGTAGGAAGAAGTTATAGATTTATGTGTAATATTATTTTATTGAAGAATGTGTGGTTGAATATGAGTTTTGGAAAAATGAATTTTTGTAAGAATGGGGCTAAAACAAGGGCATAGTATGAAAGCAAAATATAAAAAATGGGTAATACATTTTCATTTTTTGGGCTGACATGGGAGGATTTGTTTTGGATAACAAATCTCATGGAGTTTCTATGATTTTTGAAAAGGGAGGGGTATTCCAGTATTTTTCTCAAACGGAAAGTAATTGCTAGAAACACTACTTGCTGCACTATCTTGTTCTGTGTTAGCTTGTGTAGTGCGCCTTTGTTTTTTGTTAAGAGTCTTTAGTGATTTAGGTTTAACAACTTTTTAGTCTTCAGTTATATGTGTGCTTTTCTTCTCTTAGAGAGTTTAATGCATTGTGAATTTTTTTATTTTATTGTTGGTACTTCTATAACTCTAGTTATATGCTTTTTTTCCCTTCTCTTAGAGTATTTAATGCTTGTGACACGTTCACCTTGATATAATGTTTTAGCTTTATAATTAGTAAGTACTTGTCAAGATTTGTTTAATTGGCATGAAATCCTCTGCTTTGGTTTGAATAGATGTTTGCATCGTTGGTGTTGCCCGAACACCAATGGGTGGCTTTCTTGGCTCCCTTTCATCACTGTCAGCAACCAAGCTTGGATCTATAGCTATTGAGAGTGAGATTGCTAATCTTACATTTTGTCATCCAAATGGAGAAATTTGTTTATACAGTGAAGTTCTAATGTTGTTTCTTTAACCTGCTAACTTTAAGGTGCTCTTCAGAGAGCAAACATTGATCCATCACTAGTACAAGAAATTTTCTTTGGAAATGTACTCAGTGCAAACTTGGGACAGGCTCCAGCTAGGCAGGCAGCATTAGGTGCAGGGATACCCAATACAGTGATTTGCACTACCGTTAACAAAGTCTGTGCATCAGGGATGAAAGGTTTGGTTCTTACTATAAAAAACAGAGATCTTCTTTCGACCAAAATTATAATTTCTCTACTGCAGAAATAGGAAGGCATTATATTTGTGATATTAGTCATTACATACTCTGTTTTCGTTACAGCAACTGTGCTTGCAGCACAAAGTATCCAGTTGGGCATCAATGATGTTGTTGTGGCTGGTGGCATGGAAAGCATGTCCAATGTCCCTAAATACTTAGCCGAAGCAAGGTTAGTGATCTAATTTAGGGTCATGCTTTTGTTACTTACAATCTGCTTTGGGTCAAATGATTTTTTTTGTATTTCCTATTCCCCCTAAAGATTAAGAAGATAAATTTTCACAATTGTGAAATTGACAAGTGATGCTGTCATATTGCATATAGACTGAATATAAAGGCAAATATCTAGATTTCTGGTATGAGCTAACCATAATAATGTACACTTTCGCTACTGCTGACCAAAATAAAGGAACCATAGCTAGACCTTTCCAATCTCAAATGCTATCTTAACTTTTCCCACTTGTTAATTCTGTCTAAAAATCTTTCATTTCATTGATTACGATCACCCAATGTGCTACCACATGTTTTTCCTTTGTGTGGACTCTTCAGAACAATGAGATAATCATTAGGCTTGATGATTACAATTTCAGGGCTTTCTTATCTTGTGATGCCCATTCTAACTACAACAGTAAAATTTTCTAGCTTTGTTGCCTCCACAAATGTAAAATGATTGGATTTCCCATTTTGCTTCTGTGAATTATGAATGTCATATTCATAGTTGTTGCTGTTATGAGTACAGTAGATTCACTAGTTTGCAGGTGTTGCAAAATAGTTTAATATGTAACATATATTATATGGATTTTAATATATTCCAGGAAAGGATCTCGACTTGGACATGATACTCTTGTTGATGGGATGCTGAGAGATGGACTATGGGATGTCTACAATGACTTTGGAATGGGTGTTTGTGCTGAATTGTGTGCCGAACACCATGAAGTCACGAGAGAGGAGCAGGTCTGTCTACAAATACCAATGAATTTTTTCTTAATTTGAATAGTTTAGTCAACTATAGTGTAATTCTGATTACCATCTTACTTCTTTTCTTTGTCACTCATGATGTTCTAAATTATTGTAATATATTAGTTCTTTCTATAAAAAGAATATGTATTCATTTTCTTTAATCCTAGTTTTCTCTTCCCTTTCATCATAAATTCTCCCCAATATATATTTGGCTGTCTTCTTAGTCAGGAAACAGGGGAGAGGAGTAATGGGTTTCTTGGTTTGCAATACACATTTCTTTTGCTTTTATTTCCAGGAATCTGTTGTCCGAAAACATGTTGCTTATGTCAAGAGTTTGATGATAGTACCTCATCATGCAGGACAATTATGCAATTCGAAGCTTTGAGCGTGCCATTGCTGCTCAAGATAGTGGTGCCTTTGCATGGGAGATTGCTCCAGTATGATAACTAGAGCTTAGATTCTAGTTGTAGCTTTCCCTGAAACATGTAATGAACTGCAATCTGGTATCATGCAGGTTGAAGTATCTGGAGGAAGAGGAAGACCATCTACAGTAGTTGATAAAGATGAAGGTCTAGGAAAGGTGAAATTCTCACCTACTACTGAGACTTACACAATAATGTACTTGTTTCTGTGCAGATCTCACCCAATATCAGTGCTATAATTCATTTGTATTCCATAGGAAGAAGTGCACTTAGAGAAAAAGTGTTGATCATGTCTATATATATCATTGGACGCTGCATTTCTGTCATCATGAATTTTATGGGAGTCAAAGAATATTTTGGATTTATTTTTCCTACTGTTTTGGAAACTAACTTGCCAAATTGTTCCACCCTTAAAACAAGAACTGAATTAATGTGCCAGGCATTACTGTTATGCGTCCAAATCCGCCCGGTATCAGAAAAAAGATGCATTTTATCAGTTAGCATATTCTTAGGTTTTTGTGTGTGCCTGTGCATATGTAGATTAGTATTAAGTTGAATATTTATTGCTGCTCATTCTTCTTTGGCTGGTCAGTTTGATGCTGCAAAGTTAAGGAAACTTCGACCAAGTTTTAAGGAAAATGGTGGTACTGTCACTGCTGGCAATGCTTCTAGCATAAGGTTATTTGCCTTTGCAGTCCTGCATTCTTATACTTCATGTTCAGTTCTATTGAGTAACACAGGTTCTGATTGAGCAGCGATCATTAATCTACTCATGTTATCATTTCAAGGAATCATTTAAATTCCTAACTTGGTTCATTTAGTATTAGCTTTGAAGTGAAGGGTATTTGCTGTTTTTCTATTTTATCTCTTTAAATGAAATCCTTAACTATTTTAGTTGCACCCCGGATTTTCTTGTGATTTCCTGCACACTGATTAAGCTTCTCTTAATCCTATTCATTCCAAACGAAACTGGGGGAAAAATTATGGAATAAAAATTTTACTTTCGTGTTTCCTTTGAAAATTATGCAATCAAGGAAAACTTTTTGTACCTAAAATTTTTATTAAGTTTGGCACTAAATTTTAGTTTTTCCTAGAATACATGTTCGAAACATATCATCCCACACACCCACCCACCGCCATTGCACATACATGCACAAAGAAATATTCTTCGCTTCCATTTGAAACAAATGGGGTCTAGGAATGTAAAAACATTAGAGATTGAGTCCAGAAATCCTTCAAGTTGAGGTTTATTTACAAGTGAATCTAATCTTTTTTTCCAGCGACGGTGCTGCTGCTCTGGTCTTAGTGAGTGGAGAGAAGGCTGTGAAGCTTGGACTACAAGTCATTGCAAAAATCTCTGGATATGCTGATGCTGCTCAGGTATCATGCATGCTTATGTTTATGTGATTCTAAAATAAGCTTAGCTTTGTAAGTTCTACCATGAAGGAATTGATGAATCTTTATTTCTACACTTCCCATATTCACCTTAAATATAAATTTGGTTGACTTTACAACATTGATGTTTGAATGGAGCATACTTTGCAGGCACCAGAATTATTTACAACTTCTCCAGCTCTTGCCATTCCGAAGGCTATTTCAAATGCTGGCTTAGAAGCATCTCAAATAGATTATTATGAAATCAACGAAGCCTTTTCGGTATATCTGTCTTTCACTTGAGTGAATGGTTTATCAAATGGAGTATGTCCTTATTCTGCACACGTGATGCATGCAGGTTGTAGCTCTTGCTAATCAGAAATTGTTGGGGCTTAATCCAGTGAGTTGTTCAACTTCAACCTCTCTCCCTATCGCAACAAGCCCTCCTCCCTGTGCACCAAAAAAAATAAAAAATAAAAATGTGTTACTATGTGCAAATGCCAGTGTTTATGTTGTGTGCATTATCCGTTTGTGCCGATATAATGGGTAGATTCCACTGTGTAATGATATTACTGATATTTTGCAGGAAAAAGTAAATGTACATGGTGGAGCTGTATCCTTAGGACATCCTTTAGGTTGTAGTGGAGCACGTATATTGGTCACGCTTTTGGGGGTATGTTTTCTTCTCCACTAGAGAGTTAATCTGATGTTACTGCAATTTTGGAAAAATGAAACCTTTGGTGAGTGATAGGTATAGCCGTATGTTACTCTTCTTTATGAAGAATTTCGGATTATTTTCTTTCATAGATAAAAACTACACAGTTTTGTACATCTTGTATAGTTCATGGATGGGTTTGAACGAGTTGAATTAAAGATCAATTGTTCGTAGAACAAAAATGATAAGCTGTTTTCACTGACTTGATCGAACTGCATTGATTCAGGTATTGAGGCAAAACAACGGAAAACGTGGAATTGGTGGTGTTTGCAATGGAGGAGGAGGTGCTTCAGCACTCGTGATAGAGCTTGTATAATCATTTTCTGCTTTTTGGTAAGTCTAAAAGTTAGAAGGTAGTAGAGTACCTAAGAGTATGATCACCATTTAAATGCTGTGTATTTCTAATTTTTATGCTTGTTTGTGTGATGAGTTAATGAGTTTTGTGACTAAAAAGGTCTCAATTGCAGTTACTTTCAAGAGATACGTATGCCATGAAGAGATGGACCTAACAAAGGAGTAAATTGTGTGTGTATTTTCTTTTAATTTAGAAGTATAGTGATTTCCTTTTCTTCATTTAATAAATGGAAATATACTTGGATTGTACGAGGGAGATTACATTTGTAAACCTAAAAATGAAAAGAGAATGTAGTTAATTTCACTCATCCCTCGTCGTCTCTCCCAGGATTTTCCAAGATTGTAAAACACAATCATTCGAATCTTATTTCTTTGTGAGAGTTCATTGTTGGAATTCGATTTCTTTGCGATTTAGAGTTTATTGATGATGTGAATCATTGCCTTTTACAGTACGCTATGATATACTAATGCAGAAAAAAAAAATCCTCAATAAACCCTTTTTATATCATATGCTATTGTATCACCTCATCTATCAACTTAAATTATTAGAGAATGGATTTCCAGTCAATAAAAAATTTCAATATATTCTCTCTAGAATTTACAAAACAGTACATATTTTAGCCTGCATTCAACTGAAAGCTTTGTTTACAAAAAATAAAAGAAAAATTACAAAGTCACACACATTGAAACTTTTAGACTCTGGATATTCTGCGCTTATGCTCGAAAATCCGGCGAAGAAGGTAAAGTTGAAGAACACTTGATCCAATAAGTGCTACTGATTCCAAAATCGCCTTCTGAATAGCTCCCCGTCTCATACCTTCGTTAACTGCATCAATTGCGCTTCGTTAAATGATCACATGTATTAATGGTTCGTCACAAGTGTGCATGATTGTGAGAGTTTCAACTGATAAATTGAAAACTCTTCCAAATTAATACTTGTTGAAGACAAGAATTAAATGATATATTCGAATAGCTTAAACTTTTAAATTAATTGGTTACCAAATGTTTGACGGTCACTTTGCGCCTGTAACCAATGTTGTTCAAACTGGATGTTGTATAGAGCATCTTCTAACTTTGAGATTTGTTCCAACAACGGCTTAAAATGTTCTGTACGTAATCATACATGCATACAAACATTTCAACGATAAAAAACAAATGTTATCAAAATTATACGAGAAGATCAATCAAGCAATGTGGATGGATCAACACGTACGTACCATCCTTTGCATGTTGATTAGAAAAAAAATGAGTAACATGAACGTCAAAATCTACGGTTTCATGATAAGGTGACTTGTTTTTGAAGCAAAACCGATATACCCCTCTCCTATGAGCCAGAAACTCATACGTCTCACTCGTCTTGTCTCGAAATTCATGAATTGGATCGCCCGATGGCCCTTTTATCTAATAAATATGACGTAATCGTTAGAGTCATGATTATTCGTAAAGGGCAAGATGCAATATGAGAAGGGAACACAAGGTGACTCAAGGTAGAGGTTCATAGCTACACAAATGATGCCCAATCTTACAAATGAAACACCCAAAAATCAATGGAAAAGATTTAAAAAAAAATAAAAAAAAATTCAATCAAGAAATAACATCTATTAGAAGGGGAAAATGAAAAGAAATTACCATGAGATCGATCCCATCATCACCGTAATGCCAAGTAGCATCAGCTTTGATGGCAACAAAGGAAATATGGACAGTTTCACCTTCATATTCAACATTGTATGAAACACATTCTTCTTTGTTCAAAACAAATCTTATTCCAATTACTCCTTGCATCGACAAAACCACAACCATCAATATCATCTTCGCGTAAATGCCCGATCCCATCTGCACCAATTAATTTCAATGATCGTATATATGCTTAGTTCAAAACAGCCATGAAAATATAGATATAGGGAACTTACTTTTAGATGTCCAGAGAGAGAGAGAGAGAGAGAAGAAAATAAATGTCTGTTTTTTTATGTTTGAGGGGAGTTGGTTAGAGTCGTTAAAGAATTTACACTTTATTAAATATTTTTACTTAATTAACATAAGTTGTAACTTGGTCCATTTTTAATATAGATGTAATATTTCAAATCGTGAGCTTGTACCATTTGTTACTCTAAGGCCTTGCGTGGGAGGTTTTTTCAACGATTTTGGATGACATCATTTATGAGGGATCAAGAAAAACGGTGCTTGCTAATTTTTTTAGACACCGATTTTTAATGGTTTAAACATCACTCAAACTCGCTATAGTATAATTTTGATCGTTTCTCTCAAAATCGATACTTTAAAAAATTCTCATAACCGATGCACCAAACTCCCAAGCAAGCCTAAGAGTTGATTAGTTGGACTTATTGTATTGCTAATTTTTTATCTTCTTCAATTCAAAATGACATATACATACCATAAGTGTAAATTGCCGCCTCCTTCCTCAACCTATAGCACCATTTGGACTTTTCACCCCATCCTCCTTTGTTCTTAGCTTAAGCTCCTCAACCTATCGTGTTAAATAGGCAAAAGAATACGAAGTTTGAAGAAAAATAATATAATAATACCACGTTTTGATTCTCTCTTGTAATGTATGCATACATAGTCATAAATTTATAGATTGTGGAATTGTAGGAAATTTGAACATTTTATACAGGCTTTTGCATCGCATTTGTAAATGACATGCTTCTGTATTCTCCATAATGTACATAAATGGACCATTGACTTGTGTAGCAAAACCTTGTCCATCAGTTGATATTGAACACATACAGATGCATTTCTTGTGTTATCATTTGAATAACTTCCTGAAACCATCAAAAATTCTAAGAGCCCTTAGTTCGCCGCTTCTTATCTCTCTCAATCTCCTCCTCAGTATCTGGTATTAAAAAAGAAAGTAAGACAATATCATCAGATTCCAGAAAAAATAGAACAATGGTGCTGGTAAAAACGAGAGCGTTAAAGATACGTGCAAATGGCATTATGCCTCATGGTTTTGTGCTGGTAAAAACGAGGGATTCAAGATAAGTCCCAGTGGCATCATGCTATCAAAATGGATGTATGGGATATCTGCAGTAGGTTACATCACTTTCAAAGGAGTATATAGAACTTGGCGATTCACAGTACCAGAATTCATGTTTCAGGTCCTGTATCCTTGGGTAACAACAGCCACATAGTGTCAAGATTGGTATCAAAGAAGAAAGCGCGTGTAAACAATTACTGCATGCCTAAGTGATCAAAAGCTATATAGCTTCATGTAAAATCATAATTACCATACCCGACCCGGTCGTTGACCCTGTCAAATCATCGGGTCAATGGTTGGTGGGTCATTGCAATGTCTAATTTTAATTTTAAAAAAAAATGTATTAAAAACAAAGATTAAAATGGGACATATATATTTTTGTTGTCACGGTGGTCGAGTTTTCAATAATTCTTAAGAGAAGCACAGGTTCGAATCTTCATCATTGCAAATTTGATATAAAATTTTGCTTTGAAATTCGTAACTAACTAGTTTGGTTTGAACTGGATCCGTTTTTCTCCAAACCTGTTCGCTTTGGATGGTTATTAACTGGATCAACTGGTTCTTGATTGTTTTAATTGCTAATGAACCAATTAGTGCAAACTGGACCAGACCATTGTCCGGTTAACTGGTTGCCGGTTCAGTTTCAATAACTACGTGTAAAATAATAAAACTGAGAAATTGGCCCAACTTGACTTATTTATAGGGAAATTGCACTTGAACAACCCCTGGACAACCAGGGTGTTATGTGGCACCCCCCCCCCCCCCCCCCCCCCAAAAAACCCCCCCCCCCCCCCTCCCCTTCTCTTATTTATAAACATTTTCTCAAGGACAATGAAACACTATCCTTATTTATGCATGAGCTGCAGAAGAGGGGCATCATGAGAGTTTGGGGGGTGGGGGTGGCCACCAACAAAGGAAATTTGAGAAGTTTAGTCTGCCGCAGCTTCCCTTCATTTTCATTTACAGATTTTTTATTTTGCAATAGATCTTAAATGATGGAAGGCAAACTGATTTTGAAGAAAAATAGTTGAAAATAGAATTTTGTCTTTGTTAATTAGTTGTGCAACAGGCAAGTGAAACACGGTAAACACGTGTGAAGTAAAACACAGAGTCGAATCATCAAGCAGCCAGTAGAGGAACCTCACACACATGTCATTATATTTACCGTGGTGACCTATGATTCAAGTTTCAAATGCAAAAAACATAGCCTATAAAATTGTTTAATCTTCAAATTTGTGTGCAATTGTGTGTTAAATATTGAGCAGCATAGACTAAAAGAAGGCCATATCTTGCAAAATAGGGTGATTGCTTACATATTGAGCACGAAACAGTATCCTCTGTTCACTAGTGCACAAATCCACTGCTAGCTGTTTCAGAAATACTTTCCGATTCAGGATCTTTGGATTTGTCACATCCAGATCCATTGACCCACTTGCCTGTCATAATGTAGCAAATTAAAACCAATATTTAAAAGTAAACTCTCACATGGATGCATATCTTCAGAACATGATTTCCACAGAAAAAATACAAGATTTCAGTTAGAAATGAAAATCACTCACCCGAAGGAATTTGGAATACTTTGATATGCTCGACTCACAAGCATCCAATACAAATTGCATTGCATCTTCTTCTATTTCAGGGTATCTGAAATCCTTTTTTGATGTAATCTTATTTGAAGCTGCAGTGGCCATCTGGAATAAATTTAAAGTCATGTTACGAATTGCCTAAAATGTAAAAGAACTATTTTCTCTCTCTTAGGTTGCAAAACTACCAGACCTCTTCAAACTGTCTGATCATACTTGGAGGGCTTACTGCTAGATAGGCATACGCCATCAACTCCAAGGGCCAACCAGTAATTTGTAAAGGATAACACTGTGACCTGGTAACAGTTGACAATAATTAGAAACTCCAATATTTTCAACAGGAACAATTACAAAACCTTCATAGCTCAGAATGACGTATAGTTTCAGTAGTATCATGACTCGGATGATTAGGCTGCAATCCTATTCTCAAAATCATTAAAGAAATAACCACCTAACATTGTTATGAGCAGTGAATCATTTATAAATGAATGAAACCATCCAATAATAGGTACTCACGCAGATAAACCACACTTCTTCAAAGTTTCCAACTTCTCTTTGTAACATTTGTCAGATTTTCTAAGTAATAATGACAACTCAACAGAATCATGAGGGTTGGTTCCTTCTTGGGGAACAAATCCATATGAAAGCAGCAGCTCCCCATTGGATTTCCTTCCATATGATATGAAAACCTTCAAGAAGTTGTGCAACAGAAAATTATACTCATGTAACAGGTGATAAGCGTCAAATTGTTCTATAAGATAATTTATAATGGCTTGATCACAGAGCAACAAGATAAAAGTAGCAATTACTGCCATATAATAGAATTTAAACAAAAACAATAGTTGTCTCCTTAGAATTCATAATATAAAGGAATGAATAATTGGTAAGGAGTCCCGAAACATCCCTCAAGCAAACTCAAAGGAATAAATAATTAGTAAGGAGTCCAAAACATCCCTCAAGCAAACCCATCAAAGGAGGAGGTAAAAAAGAAAGAGACAAGTCTTACAAGGATGAAAATAAAATTCAAAGACAATCATACTTTCTCCAACATAACACAGTTGAATAGAACGTTAAACATTTTCTTTTGGAGGTGAACACATAAATAGAAGTCATTATTAAAAGAGAGAGTTCTATGGCTCCAGATCCAGTTGCATATAACCTTAAGAAAACCAAAACAAAATTCAAAAGCATTAGAATCTGGCATATTCTTAACATTGAAGTTTGTTTCTCATAAGATCTCCCAGCTGTTACATTTTTGATATAGAAATGTTAACTTGTCAGCATCCTGGAGCTTGTGTACCTGCTCACCTGGCTCATATGCTCGATCAGTTGTAAAAACAACTCCCTGGGAGGATTTATCATAATCCAGAAACGTCTCCACCTTGACAAAGCAAATAAAACTCTCAGAGCTATGGTTGTGCAAGTCAATTATGTCAATAAAACACATGGTTATCCAGAAGTGGGCCATAAAAGTTGTACCTCACAACTATGATTCAGCATGTCTGCCCAAGGAACCAAGGCAACCTTTCCATCCATTGCGGGTAAACGGACCTGTGTAAGATGGATATAACTTCTATATCATTCATTTTAATAGATTGATATATGATTACGTTATCAAAAGATTTTGGCATCAAGAATCCGAATCTCCCCCGTTTTCATTGGAAGAATTACAATCAACCATGTCAGTGCAACTCACCAAGCGAGAGAAAAGAATGCCAAAAGACCATTTAAAAGTCTCCATGTTGAATACCTGAGAAGGCATACACAACATTTATCACCAACAAAATTAATATGACATATTATACAAGTTTATTATGTCAGAGACTATCTTTACTTCTTTTCAACAAGACTGTCAAGCGACTTTCATAGAATTGTGAAAACGTAATGCATAACAAGTATAAGGAAAACATGCATGGGTAAATATATACTAAGGAAAACCAGGATAAAAATTAGTGCATAGGTTGGGTATTGGCTCAGACTCCAGTTCAGGCCCATGGTGTGCTAGGAAAAGGAGGGATTCAAGCAGTGGTAATGGCAACCATCTTTCCAATAAAAGACCAAATTTGGTCACATCATCCATGCTGAAGATTCATCCATATTTTCCTTCTCTAATGACTCAAATCCTTTGTTATTTCAATGTTGGATATTAGTATTTTCATTGAAAAATTTGTCGGCTGGGCAAATGTCATGATGTATACAAATTTTATCATCCTTATTCTAAGAAAATTTCCACTTTTATGAACGTCATTTTTACTGGAAATCAGCCTCCCCCCCCCCCCCCCCCCCCCCCCCCCACCAC